TAAACATAATTCGATATGACACTTTAGCAATCAATTTGTATAAATTCACTTCGAACGTACTTTTAACTAAATTGTAACAAGCATCGATTAGAAGAAAAACTAAAAATTAAGACTCCGAACAATTAGTTTTTAAATGAAAAGTTAATTTTATCGAATTACACAAATAAAAATAAACAACAAATAGGTAAGGTAAATTTAATAGTGGTACGATGTTCTTTTTTTCATCTAGATTTAATTATTATTCGTTAAAAATAACCTACCTTCAATTGTAACACGAAATGTTCCACTTGTCGCAGAAAAACTTCTGTACTGCACAAAAACCTTTTTCAGTTTATTACTCATACTCGTAAATTTTGGTGACGACAAATCTTATCTAGTCCGATTGTATGATAAGTAATATTGTAAGGTGTGGTGTTTCTTAGAAATAATTAGAAGATTATGCTTATATATCTATGAATGAGTGTCTTTTAAAAAAATCTACGAAATAGCGACGGAGTTTTTTTTAATCTAGGGCACGTATATTTTTCATTAAGATACCTATTGGCATACACAGGCTATGTTTTTTATTCTAAGTTATATAAGGACTGTCTGATTGGGAACACAACCGATCTGATAAATATGATTGCATTGTTGCCAAATTGCAGTTTGCAATTAATTTTCGGATACAATAGACTTTATTTTTTTTAATGAAACATTTTCCTATTATATCTGACGAAACGGCAATATAGCAACCATGCAATTGTTATAAAAGTTACTTAAGGTATGTTTAATAATACCTACAAACATTTTTGAAAACTTCTTTTCGTTAAACCGTTTTGTTTACGAAATAAATTGTTGTTATGTGCTTTGCTTTATCTAGATTTATATCTTTTAGTGAGAAATATACATATATTGATAATTGATAATCTCCAGTACAATATATTTATGTTCCCTTTTTTATCAAATTCAGAGAAAAATCAGATAAAATTGATTTAATACATTTAACCTGTGTCCGGAATATTTTTATTATACATACCATCAAAAAAAAAAAAGAAAATAGCAGTCATAATTATTACGTAAGGAATACTTATTTCTTTGTCTTTTGTGGACAATGTTAAAAGCTTACGCTGTGTAGGTAAAACTTATACGGGATTGAAAAACACCTATTGTTTATGATGAAAATACGGAAATAGCTATAGTAGGTTCCTTTGCTACATTTTCAGTCATAACACCTTGCTAATACTAAACTAACATAAACCCATATAACAGGTTTAAGAAAGAGTGGTAAATAATAATTCTAACAATGATACTCATAGAATAATAACTGTATTTTGTCAAGGTCTTCGTTTTTCTGGATATCAAGCAGCACATCCTCTACCATGTTCTCGAAATTACTTTGTCACTTCGTCACATTGTCCATAAGTAACAAACAAATTATAATAATCCTCATTAGTATAATTTAAACGATCCCTAGGTATTTCTATTTAATTAACACTGACAAATGTGAAATTATTTTATTTGTTTTTGGAGTGAAGTTTTTTAATTTTTTTGACACATATTTTTAACAGTTTTCGAGATATTACGTATTACGTATTGGTACTGGAAAAATATTGACAATTAATAAAATTATGCTAATCTATCAATTAAATAATTAACTTCATAAAATGAAGTAAATTATTTGCAGTAAGGTTCGATGTAGTGATTATTTATTTAAAACAGATACATAAAAATAGGTTGAAATAATTCCATTTATTTACTTTGATATCAAACATAACAATATACAGGTTGTTTCTAAAATAGGGTTCCAAACTTCTGCTGCGTTTATAACTCATTAAAATAAGCCAAAAAGTTCCTATTAACATGTGTCCTAAAACGCACCCTTAGGAAGTTATATGCTCTTAAAAGGGCTCAAACAAAACTGGTTCCACAAAAAGAAGAGCTCTCAAGCTTTAAAATCGTTTTTGAAAAATTCAAATCGAACGATTATAGTACGATCGTATACGATGCAAAGTAGAGCAAAAAATTGTCGGTCTTTTATCAAAGGAAAATCGTGTCATCATTTTTAGGAGGCGTAAGATGAACCGTTTCAAATTTAAAATGAAATTGAATGTAAAATCTGAAATACCGCCGCATACGCACTGTGTTCTGGTACTAGCTGTAGTCGGCCAGGTGCATCGAGTGTACGAAGTGGTCGGTTATACGTCAAATACTAACCTGGCGAGCTTGATCGTAGAGCAGGGAACAATAAACAGTGGCGCGTACAGAGGTGAAATGTAGTACATATGTGGAATTTAAATAACGAATTGGATTTATAATAAATTACATTTAAAACAAATAGTTTATGAGAATAAAGGGATTTTTGTAGGAACAGGGTTCCAGACGTGAACTGATCTCTTCATCGCACCCCATTACGATTCTTTTTTTTATAAGGAGAACGAAGTTTCAAAGCAAAAACCTTGTATAACAGATATACTATAAATATTTACAGAATGAAAACAAAATATAAATCCTATGATATGATTCTATCAAATGAAAACACTAACAACAATTCTCTACCAATCTCAACAAAATAAGTTATTTTTCTATCAAACAAGAAATGTTAACAAATTATAAACAAAATATAAATTCTATGATTTATGTACTGTACGCCAAACTGCATTTTTCTCATCTTCATTTAATATTAATTTCTTCTTTGCACCCCCTTTTTTAGGTTTCTTAACGTCTCCTTCAATTTTCTTCTCTCTTAAAATTTTGAAAACAGATAATTCGCTTACTCCAGTATATCTAGAACACATTTCCACCAAACCAGTCTTCAGTTTCATGGGATGATCCTTTTCTAAAGGGTTATAGACATTTAATATTATCGTTTTTTCTCTGTAACTTAATATAGATTTTTTTGTACCCACAGCAGTACATCCGGCTCGCGAACATCCAGGCACCGCCTCCATTTATCCATATAACGACAACAGAGCAATAATAATACAAAAAACTTCACTTCACTAGCACAGAAAATATAATAGCATTCACGATTCACAAACAACAGCCCGAAACACACACACAGCACACAAATAAAACACTAAAAACACTTTTGTTACGGAGCACAAGAAATATGATTTCACTCACAAATTCTCAAATAATAGCGCGAAACACACATATAGCCCGAAAGAAATATAATTGCACTTATAACAGTTATAACCTCACAAATATCGCGAGCGAGAAACACGCAGCACCAATACAACCGAAACGAAACTGACCACGCCAGGCCGGCACGCGCGCCGCCGCAAAAAACACAAGACACAAGTCATATGAGGGATAATGAAGGGAGTAATAAATGTATTGTTGTCCTGCCGCCCAATGTGCGAAGGAGATGCCTTTGTTTTTCATTTTGTCCTTCATAAATATATAACTGTTAATCCATAATGCATAAAGAAATTATTCAATTTCCAAAACCCCCTATAAAATGTGTTGCACTGATTCCCTTGACAGGCAATGATTTATTACTTTGCATCGAATACGATCGTACTATAGGTGAGCCGTGGTGATTGTTTAAACATTTTCGCAATTTTCACGCTTATAAACAATTGCAATAATTCAATGCTTTTTTTCAATTTCTTTTAATTTTAAAATATGGTTTGAAAGTACTCGGAATGAAGAGTATTTAAAAAAAAACCCTGATGATCCGCCCATTATTTTCGGAGTTATAGCCCGTTAAAGTTAACCCTTATTTACAGCAAAACTATAAGGGTATAAGGGCTGCTTTTTGAACTAATAGGTTTGTCATTCCGAGTGCTTTCCAGATATAAATTTTCAAAATTTGCAATCACGGGCGTCCCATTTAAAATGTCACTCAAAGATATTCAAGACCGCGTGAAATCAGTGGTAGGGGGAGCAAACACACATCTACTCCGATCTGAATTCTCGAGTTCAAAACTGCGACGCTCGGAAAAATTTCACTTATCTCAGCTTCTAATGGACCAATTTCGATGATTTTTTTTTTAAATCGATGTCTCGCTACTTAAAAAATTCAATTATCATATTTTCAACTACCTTTTATTATTAATTATTGGACATTTGACATGCCGATAAACAGTTACTTTAAAAAATGATTAATTTATTATGTTTATTTATTTACTATGTTAATATTCACGACCAAAATTTTTGCATGTTGCACCAGGTAATACTAGTAAGTTTGTTTAAATATTATAAAATTGTTTAAACAATAATTATTTAAATAATCAACTGAAAATTGGTATTAATTTTTAGTTGTACGATAAATTTCTAAAAATCTTTCAAAAAAATAAATTGTGAATAATTATAATTTTAATTTTTTCGTTTACTCTTCAAATATTTATCTAAAACTTATTTTTTATTTATATAAAAAAAGTATATGAATCTTTTGGATACTTCAATGAACAGTACACAGTTATCATGATTTTTCAAATTTTAAACTGTTTATTTCAATTTTTATTTACATTTAATCTAATCTAATTCTTTTACTAGTTGGTGAATATGAACATCCTAAGTATTATTCAAATGCCTGAAAAACAAATAAACTAGCATTTTTGCAATTTTTTAAATGATTTTTCCGATTTTTGCAATAATAATAATTATTTCTTCGAATTGCAACTAAGTCTATGTTGATCAAAATTTAATTAGGAAACTTTTTTCCTCTTCCATTTTGGCTAAAATGAATAGTTGCTAAGTTGTCGACAAGAAATCCAAGAAAAAAATTAATTTTTTTGCTATTTTTTTATACTTTTTTGCAATAAGAATTAAGCCCACTTTTTCTTTTATTTGCATAGAAAAATTATCATTTCTGATGTTATTTAGAAGCCGTTAAAGCAAAAATCTCCGAAACAGATACCGTCTGGACTATATAAATATAAAAATAATAAAGACAATGCATTTCCACATGAGAGTTAATACTGTGGAATTATTATTAGCCGAAATATGAAGCTTCGAATCAGTCGGTGCGTTGTATTAAAATTGAATACCTACCAATGATGCAGCTTATTATTTTTTTAAACCGTTTGTGGATTCAGGTATCGCAGCAGCTGGCAATTGCCGGTTCTCTTAGCTCTCATAGCAGCGGTGTCGCCATTGGAATCTCTGCTGTTAACATCAGCGCCATGCTCGATCAAGAATTTTACAATGCTCTTCATGTCATAAAAATATATGCCATAGTCTATAGAGAATGTCTTCCACTTCAAAACTGTTAAATGCAAAGGAGTACGACATTTGTTGTCTGGAATATTGACATCAGCATTGCGTTCCACGAGATGCTTAACAACACTCAAATGACCCTCCTGGGCGGCATAATGAAATGCGGTGAGGCCGTTTTTGTCTTTCCTGTTAACGTCCTATTCGAACAGCATAAACAAGGGGAGTTTCACTCATTTCGTCCCAAATGTTAAGCCCCCCCTCTTGTACGAGAAAATCTAAAACAATCAGGGTGTTTGCATAGGTGTACTTATGTATTTCATACTCCATACGACTAATAGGTATTGCTTTATCTGCAACAACTTCGAAATCTATGCATTTAAAAAGTAGTCGAAGAATCTCTACGCATCCATCTTTAACCATGCTGTGAATTAATTGATAGTTCGACTTCAAATCAACATCATATCTTAAAAATCGGTAACTGTCGAAAATAGTAGAAGGTAAATCGTGTACGATTTCTTTTAGAAAAGTGTCGAAAAAGGCACGGACTACTTTAAATTTTGGTTTCAATAATATTTCAGCGAAGAAGAATTTTTGAAAGTTTTCATTTTGATTTGCCATTTGGAGTTTCAATTCGCTTAAAAGACTTTCCGCGACAAAGTATTCCGCGAAAGTTCTGTGAACGAAATGGAAACTGTTCTCCGACTTTTGTACAATACCGATCTTCGACACCGTTTCCGCATCCATATTTCTATTCGCTTGCTGATATTGCGATAAAAGTTTACATTCCGATTCATCTAGAATCTCTTCTAAGGCGAGAATTCGATGGTAAGCAAGGTACGTCTCGAATTGATAGACGAGCGCTTTATGCGCTCCCGTCTTTCCACTTGGATTTTCCTTGTTTATGAAGACGATTTGTTTCTTCTCAATAAACATCTTGTATATTTTTGTGATACTGTTTTTTTCCTGTAATTTTGGTGTTAATCTGCTTCCATTTAAATATTCCTTACATCCTTCCCAGTCCATCGACTCTTCTAACCTATCGCTTGACTCAAATATCTCTGCTAACATTGTTAACAGCAGCGGTATTGAGGCAAAGTGATGTTCACCCTGTTGGTACAAAGTTGTACAAGACAATGTTGTTTGGAGCAGTATTTTAGCGTATTCCTCACATTTCTTCTTATTGATACTATCTAATTCCAAATTATGCGCCCAATACTCTGTAAGAAAATGTATTTGGTGGCGTTCTGTAAACGGGAGTAACGAAAAAGATTTCACTTGCAGCTTTGATTCCAATTCTTGGATCATATTTGGTCTCGTTGTCACGAACACTTTGTCAAAATTAGCTCCTTTTTGGCATTGGACAAGTAGTCCTATCACCAGCTCCGTATAATCGGGGCTGATCTCATCCACCCCGTCGATCATAATGACAACTTTCTTGTTCGTCAAAAATAAAACCTTCTCCAATTGGTTCGACAGTTTAGTTGCGTCTTTAGAATCTAATAATTCTATTATGTCTACTATTTTTTTATCTTTCAATTTCTGCAAAATCCTGGTGTAGTCCTTGAGTTCGATTCGTATGACCCATACAAGAGGATATTTGTCCTTAATTGTTTTTGCTAAATGGGAAAGGATCGTGCTCTTCCCCATTCCAGCTTCATCAGAGATCAATATTACTTTATCTTTCACTTCATACATTTTGTTCTCCAAAATAAGTTCTATTTTCTTGTTACCAACTTCCTTTTCATCCTCATTCTTCTGTATTTCTCTCTTAAAACTGCGATCAATGTAATAACCAACGATGTGTTCGTCCAATGCACGTCCAACTTTAATTTGTTCTCCTTGAACTAATTTCTCTAATGTTTCTGGACATAGTTTATCCTGATCGGTTTGTGTTTCAAGTAATTCTTCTAAGCTAACTTCTTTTCCTTGAAAAACTACTTTTTCCTTTAATAATTTAGACTGAGAAACCTGACAAAAGTCTTTGAAAGTTACAGATTCATCGATAATACCACAAACGCTTCTATTTAGTCCAATTTGATGAACTAATTTATCACTCTTAGCCACCAGAATAACTTTCTTCTTTTCATACTGATTTAAGGTGTTTCTTAATTTGTCACATATTTCGGCCACTACAGATTCTTCTAGACCATCTTCAGGCCAAGAGAATATTAGAAAGGTATGACATGGTAGCTCGAATGCTTCTATTGCCCTTTTTTGTAATTCGATACCACCATCATCGGGACTGGCGTAGAGGATTTTAGATTTGTATTTTCTCAAGGAATGATGAATTCTCAATTCTTGGAGCACATATCCTCCCTCAGCATTAACATAATACAATTGCGTTTTGTCTTGGACATTCAACAAATGTCCTTGGAAGGACACGCCATACTTATCCAACTTTTGCCAGTACTGGTCGCTTTTTATTTCAAGAAACATAGCATTAGCGGTAGTCTCAGTTAAGTATATGCCGTGTTTCTGCTGAAACCACTTCATTAATTTAGCGTATATTTCCGAACATGATATATGGCCATAAAAATTCCCAGAACAATTCAGAAGAGACACTAATATTTCAGTGTCTTTGTCTTTATTATTATTTCCCAACGGGTAATTGGAATAAAATTGTAAACGTTTCAAAAAATCCTTCAAGTTGTTATCGGTGTTTACCGATTGGTCAATATTTTTGTCCTGACAGTATATTTCAATTTTTCGTTTTAAACGGCTCAAAATGTTTAGATTGAATGTATGAGATGAACAATTGTCATCAGCACAATATAGCACACTTTCAGTGCAAATCCTGCGGGTGTCTAGAAATTCCAAGGCCGTCTTATCGAAACCTGCGTTGGTACAAATTATAATGGTATTCTTCCCTTTAAATTGACTTTTCACTTCTTGGTATGAGAGAAAATACTTGGGCAAGCTGAAAGAATTATTTGGATTCGTGGAAAGCAGAGCATTTAAGGTTATCTTCGAATTCGTTTTCTCTTTATTTTTGGCTTGGATCAAAAAGGCACTCTCTGGCAACTCCAGAATTGCGTCGTCAAATTTCCCTGCTTTATTATTTTCTGTAGACAGTTTCCAGTCTTTGAGTTTCCTCAGAGAATTGAACAGGAGAACCATCAGCAAGTTGATTTGGAATTCAACGCCTTTGCTCCCAGCACTCCCACCTTTCATATATCTTAGAAGACAACTGGTAGGATGCTGCAAGTGTTCTTTGGCGGTTATGTTCTTGATGACTCTTAAAGGTTTTGAGGTAGAGTCTTCGCCGACAAGTTCAAGCCTGGTAAACGTATTTCCTTCTAGACACAAGACAACTTCCTCGTTGCTCTTTTCTACAACGTTCGAATAATCACCCAGAATTTCAATATTGGGATTTACAGTTACAACTGGATCCCGTCCTTCATTTGATAACACTACGATTCTTATATTTTCCAATGTCGACAGAATGGGTACTTCTTGTTTGGTAACAGGTTGCCCCGCCATCGTAATGTCACGTACGTAACTTTCAAAGTGATTTTTATCTCTGATAGATTTGTGCTTGTATGCATCTTTTGCTGAGAAACATCCAATCAGTATATCTGCTAGAACAACCGGTATTTCCTCATTTTCGAAATAAGTCAGGAATGCAGCCCAGCGCATGCGCCTAACTTTATAGTGTTTATCGGAGTAGGCTTCTCCCTCGGCGGCTCTAATTCCGAAGGCCGAATGGAAAAAACTATTCTCGTCGGCCACAGTGGCGCACGGCCTCCACAGCTTGCCATTGTAAGAATAGTCTTTTGTAGTCATCACCCTACAAGTAAAGAAGTGTTACTTATACCAATAACGAATAAATAGTTTGCTGTTTATTTGTCTATTTATTATTTTTAGATAAAGGAAAAACCATAAAAAAGCCTTAATTTTCATAACTTATAGGTACGTGATGATCTTTTAGGTGTGACCATAAAATTATACAGGATGTTAATTAAGTACGTCGACAAAGGGGAGATTTTTTTAGTGATTTCAAGACAATGATGAAACCACAGACAAAATAGCTATCGCCACAGACCGCTACTGGAATAGGCCAACAGTTTTAAATTTCCGAATTGCCGGTAGAGTACACCACCAGCAGAATTTTAGGAAGAATCAAATACAGCGGCCCGCATACCTAAGCGTATCCTAGCAACATATAAACAAGACTTTGGTAATGTTGCCAGGCGTACTTACGGATTTCTTTTGTACACTTTTTTATCAATATCTGTTTTTTGCGTTACTGTATTTACTTCAATGTATGATGTAGGTATTGATAAAAATGTTTTTAAAGAATCAACGAATATCTATGTATGTATCATATGATATTCTGCAGTGGTGTTACAATTAAGTTATTTAATCATAATTTCGTTAATTAGCTACCTACTATTTTCATTTTTTGGTATTGAAATACTGCAGAAAATATATTTCCAAATAAACAAAATTCGTAATAATATTTTAAACAGCTTGTAATATAATTTTTTTAATATTTGATGATGACGATAAATTTATTTAATATACAAGGTGGGTTATTAGTACGTCGCGGAATGTAGGTACAGGTTTTTTTTTGTATTTTGACATCCACTTATAGGTTTAATAATTAAAGATAGAAAGAAACTTTAAATACAAATGTACGACTTTTCCTTTATTTCATTTGACATCAAAATTTACTGGCATAAAATATATATGTTTAAAATAAAAAAAATCATTAAAAAAAATTAAAATTCATCCTTATGAAAATAACAAACAACGCTTTTTATAACTAACCTTTACAACAACATAAGGAGAATAACTAAAAACGAAATAACATTAATATACCTACAATTTTTACAAATCAACATGCAAGTGATTGTGATGATACAGTTGAAAATATGTTTCAATTTACTATTAATTGCTTCAAAAACAAATTCAAAATTATCAAGCATTTCGTCCTGTATTTTTCTTTCAATATTTGTAAACTTTCAGGGAAAAAAAAATATGTCTAAAGGACTGACAATGAGATCGGGGCTGTTTTCTGGCCACCTAAGGTTTCTAATAATATTTTTTAGTGTTCGTTGACGGGATTCTTCCTCCAAAATAAATTTGCCAATATTCCTGAAGAACTTTTGCACATTATTGTTATTTGAATAATACAGTTAATTATGTTTTATTTTTCGTCATCAGAATAACCCATTGTAATTTTTTTAATTTTTTAAATTAAAATGGGTTATTCTAATAATGATAAATCCCATGTATTTTTAAAAGAAGGTTCGTTTCTGTCGTTTTTGTCTGATTGTGTGCGAGAGAGATAGAGTTATAGTGTGCGATAGAGATAGAGTGACTCTGTCCTCGTAGAAAGCTTCTATCTCTCTCTCTCTCTCTCTGCTGTCTTCAGGAGTCTCCCCAGCAATTTCAGGACACCTAGGGAGGGAACGTGGGGTAGAGCGCGTGGCCTTGTTAAGCCTTCGTTATCGATCTATGATGTCACACAGTATAAGAAAAAAAAATGGTTTTTGCTCGTAACTCGGAAATGGCTGGAAATATAAACAAATTTCCCCTTGGTTCTGAGTAGAGCACTCGGTGGGTGACGCAGAGCGGGGTGTCACAATATATGAAAAAAAAAAAAACAGTATTTGCTTAGACTCTTAAGTATCAAAAAATCTCCCATGGTGAACAAATAAATCTCCCATGGTGAACGAGTGAAAAACGTCAAAACCCGCATGTAAAAAAAAAAATCGGGACCAACGGTGTGTGACGTCATAGGATAAAAAAGTGTTTATAACTCGGAAACGGTGCGTTGAATCGAAAAAATAATTGAAAAATGTCAACCCCTCCCTCCCGGGTTCTGTATGTTCCTTCTGCGTTGAATGCAAAAGGTCCGAAGTCCGTATGTCGAAAATAAATTCTGGAAACAAGAGGTATGTCGTGTTATAGTAAAAAGGCCGTATAACTCGGAAACGGTGCGTTAAATCGAAAAAATAATTGAAAAAATCTCCCCACACCCCTGGTTCTGTATGACAGTTCTGCGTTGAATGGAAAAGGTCCGAAGTCCGTATGTGGAAAATAAATTTCGGAAAGAAGAGGTGTGTGAGGTGATACAGTAAAAAAGGTCTTATAATTCGGAAACGGTGCGTTGAATTGAAAAAATAATTAAAAAAATCTCCCCACTCCTCTGGTTCTGATTGTCCGTTCTGCGTTGAATGGAAAAAGTCCGAAGTCAGTATGTCGAAAAACAAAAAAGTTAGTCAAAAATTGCAACAGCAGTGTAACGAACGCGTTATCTTATCTCTGTATTGATTGATGATTTGTTGTTTTTTTTTAAATAAATTTCGTATTCAACTAATCCTTGAGGTTCCAGCAGTTTTACATTGTATTAATTTTTTTGAACACCTTGTATCACAAATATGAGCACTACCAATGGCATCCATGATATGCAATACTTGTGTCAATAATTATTTTACCTAACTAAAGAAATCAACAAGAAGAGAACAGTACTCATCTAAGGATACACAACCTGCATAATGCAATTTTTTTAAACATAGTTATTAATATCGTACCACATTGGAAGTCGACGCACAAATCTAAAAACATTAATTTCGAGTTTTTGAATATTCCCATTCCAAGGTGATATAAAATAAATAATTAATTAGGTAAATTCATAGTTTTAATTCTAACTTAATTTATTTCATTTATCATTTAAGGCAAATGTGATTTCCAAACAGAAGATAAGTTCCATGTCTCTTTAATTACATAATTGAAAGCATTAAATTTATTTAGCAGTTATTATTTGGCAACAAAGCCACCGCTGTAACTGCCGCCTATTAGCAAGTAGAAGAGTTACCACGCTAAATTTCATTGATGGAAGCCGGCTAACAAAAGCCTGCTTCCATTTCGGGTTGCCAATTTCCAGCATTTAAGAAGCAGTCTGTAGCGGATACGCTATATTGTCTGTGATGAAACTTATTCGAATATAAATACGTGTACCAGAACTCCAGAAATTCGACGCCACTGGATATTTTCTTAAAAAAAGTTCAACGGATTGGTTTTAGATGCATGATAAATCTGACCAGAAATTTTGCATTTATTAGATTTTAAATGATTACCTTGTATTTAAAATGGTTAATCAAAGAAAACGCCAATAAATCGAAAATGGTTTGCTTTTGGAATAAAATGAGATATTTTTTATTTGGAAGCATCATAAGGAAATTGAAGTACGTATATGTGGTTTACAGCACTTTAGATTGAGATAAAGTGAAGATAAGCCGTTTAAAAAAATAAATTCCAATAATCTATTACAACTTATGGCGGACACGAAATATTTGAATATAGTATATAGAATACAATGGAGAGCATTCGTATGATTAAAAAAAATCAATAACTAATAAATACTCCTTTGAACGGGGTTGGTAGATACTATATTTTTGCGGCATCTTAAAATACTTTTGTCTAAGACCATTTCAATATTTTCAGTGGAAAAAATAATATGGAAACGATCACTTTTACATTTTAAGACGCTAACTAGATTTGAGGATATTTTTACTACCTACATATTCTATTTTTATAAAAAAATAAACCACCTTACCTGAATCGTTAGGAACAATAAAACATGTATCAGAACTACTAGAATCAGTTTTGGTTTTTGCTCATTGAAAATTATCAATTTTGTGCTGCAAAATTAAAAAATTGTAACTTATAACGGAGACACAATCACATCTTATCCAAGTTACTGACAACATCAGTATTTATTACTTATTTTAGACAATGCAAAATAC